GAATGTTTTTATTTAATTATTATTTTCCCTTCCGGGAACTTCCGGGAAAACCGTTCTACCCCCGGGAACTCAGTTTTGTGAGGATGTACCAGCGTTTTTGGTCTTCCGGGAAAACCGTTTTTAGGGTTCCGGGAACTTCCGGGAAAACGGTTTTAGGGTATTTAAAATAATTAATTAATTACAAACAATTATTTTTAAATAAAAGCAGGAGGGGGTCCTGGGGGTTCGGGGAAACGTTGGAGAGGCCCTTGGAGGCTCGTGTGGGGCTGAAGTCCAGGATCCTGGGGGCTTTTGGGAGAGGCCCTTGGGAGTCTTGGGGAGGCGCTTCTCTCTTCGGCTCTTGCGGCTTTCTGAGGTTCCTTAGGACTTCTTAGACTCCTTAGGGAAAGGCCTTGAGCCTCTTAGGACTTCGTAGACCCCTTTAGGACTTCTGAGGTTCCTTCTGAGGCCCCTCAGGATGTTCTGGGATCCTGGGATTTGAGCCCCCTCAGGATTTCCTTCTGAGGCCCCTCAGGGCTTCCTTGGGCTTTTGGACACTGCCCTTCGGTTTTAGCTCCCTGGGGGCTTCTCAGGCTTCGCTCTCGGCTCGGGCCTTTGGCCTTCTTCGGGCTCGGGCCTTTGGCCTCTGGCTCGGGCCATTTGCAGACGCCATTTGGGCTCGAGCCGTTTGGGCTCTTTGGCCTTCTTGCCAGCATCTCGCGCTCGCCGCTCACCGCTCGCCATGCCAGTTCTTGCTCAGATTCATGCTGAGGAAATGGCCTTCTCGGCTTGGCTGCAATACGTGAAGGGCTTCAAGATTGAGACGGGCTCGAGGTACGGTCGTTTCATCCGTCAGTTGTTGCTTGCGGAGAAAGGCGAGGCCGACGTCGACCGCGCGATCGCCGTCATCGGCACCGAGCGGTACACCGAGCTGGTCATCACCATGTTCGACGACCATTGGCGAAAGGGCGCGCACAAGCTCTATGTCGAGTTTCGCGCCTCCACCCGTTCCGACGTGCAGGGAGAGCCATCGGGGCCTTCGGCACCCTCGTCGCCGATGTCGGTGGTTTCGTCAGCGTCGGCGGCGTCAGGGCCAGGTAAACGCCGAGCCTCGACCGACGCCCGCGCCCGCAGCAACAAGAAGCAGAAGCATGGCGAGGACGAGGCCGCGGTGCTACAGACCTTGGAGCGGTTATCGTTGGCTCCAAGCCCTGGGCGAGTCACGAACGGCAAGGGCTTTGGCGAGGGCAGGTGCGGCAAGGTCAAGAACACGGCGAAGGCGAAGCGAAAGGCGGCGAGTTCAGCGGCGAGTCCAGCGGCGAGGGCAGCGGCAGCGCCCCGCTCACCTTCGCCGAGCAGTAGTTCTTCGAGCAGCAGCAGCAGCAGCAGCAGCAGCAGCAGCTCCGCTTCGTCCCCGCCATCGTCGCCCGCTTCTTCACCTCCGCCTTCGGCCTGTGCTTCGCCTCCGCCGCCGCCTCCGCCGACGACACCGTCGACGCCGTTGACGCATGTACCGCTGCAGCTGCAGCTGCTTCGGCCGACGTTCTCGGAGATGGCGCTGGCGGCTTCGAGGACTAGTAGATGGGACAATGTTCCGCCGCCGATGCAAGGGGTAGGATAGGGCGTGGCCAAAGGAGGAAGTGGGGCCAGCTGCCGATATCGAATGCTCCTGTCAGACAACAGGTCGGAGCAGTTGTGCATCGGGTGGCCCCTATCCCCCCCTCTCTTGGCTTGCTTCTTTCCTTCCCAGGTCATTGGCGACGGGGCATTGTAGCGCCGCCAGGACCGCGATGGACACGCCCAGGCCGCGGCCCGCGCTCAAGAGGGGCGCGACGAAGAGGACGGCATTCCCGACTTGGGAGGTCTCGTCCGAGCAGACGATCGAGAACTTCTCGTACTTGCGGGATACCCTCTGGTATGCGAAGCCAGGGTCGGTCGTGGAGTGCAACCTGTGCAGCGTTTTCGTCGTGAGGGAGATGGGGCGGCTGGTGTCGTTGCCAGGGAGGTCCGCGTTCGCCAGCGAGAGGTTCCTCTGCAATGGTTGCTTCGAACGCTCGGAGCCGCACCCCGTGCTGCACTACGGCCGCGAGTACGTCTTGGAGCAGCAGTTGGCGCAGATGGTTCGTGAGCGCCGTGAGAACGGTGGGCTCGCCGGCTTGTAATTAGTTTTTTTTGTTGATGAAGGGCGTGGGCCTTGAGGTCTCTGGGCTGGTAAGCCCGAGGTCGTGGGTCGTGGGCTCGCTCGCTGGCTCAGCAGGTTCCGAAGGGCCTCATCTCCGTCATCTCCATTCAAGTTCAAGCATCATTTCATCATCCCACAGATCGAGTATGTATGATCCCTCTTATTTGATCTCCCCGCCTTCTTCCGTTCCCAAGCCTGTCCAGCGCCTTGTAGATCCGTGGCGTCACGTTTCCGATTGCACGCTTGTTGCTGCAAGACCCTCCATCGAGGCAATTGTAACTAGTAATTGCGTCAGCGCTTTCTGAATTGCCGATGGGCCACGTGCGCTCTGCCCTTGCGCCACGTGCGCTCATGGCGCCGCCCTGTGCCACGTGCGCTCTACGCATGCATGTGGTTGCACCTTCCTGCACCGCGCGTGCCGCGCCGCGAGCGCCGAAGGAATGCACGCAGCCCGCCTGTTGCGTCAGCAACGTCTGATGGGCTTCGTTCGGACATCTGCATCGGATGTTTGAAAAAGCTTTCATCTCATCGATTGCGCCCTCAGGAGCCGCAGGACGAGGAAGAGGAGGAGGAGGGGGAGGTCTGGCAGAGGGCCAGTCTTGCCTGCTTTACTTCCGTTCAGTCTCAAGTCGAGTCGGACCCCCTCCTCCTCCTCCTCCTCCTCCTCCTCCTCCTCCTCCTCCTCCTTCCTCCTCCTCCTTACTCCTCCTCCTCCTCCCCCCCCCCTTCCTCCTCCTGCGGTTGCCCGTCCTGAGCCTTGAGGCTTTTCCTCTTACCCTCGTCGTTGCGAGTCGCATCTTGGCAGCGTCTGTCGTTATTTGTCTCAATGAGTCCCTTGCCTCTCCGCGCCTCTTTCGCCTGGCACCTCGGCTTTCGCATTCTTGTCGTCTGTGCTGCTCGAATCGTGGATCGTCGGCCTCGTCGTTGGCAGCGGGTCGCGGTCGAAGCACGGGTTGGGCCTTTGCCAGGATACTCAAGTTCATTTTCAACCCTCGCCCCCGCCTTCTCGCCGTTTGCATGCGTTCGGTCGTCTCCCGCGCCGCCGGCAGGAGGGCGGCGTCGACAAGGACAAGGCCAGCGGCGGCAAGGACATCGGCGACGCCGACAGTCTGGACTTCACGGGACCGTGGCTCGCCGTTGTCACCCAGGTAATGTTGGACAGGATGGGGCCGATGGAGTTGGAGTTTTCGAAGGCCATCAAGCAGTGCGCGGAACGTCACGGACACGAGGTGAGCAGAGCTACTTGTTGCACTGGTTGCGACATTAAGGCGAAGGTGGATGACTTGCTGGAAGCGATCTGGAAGGGGCGATGGGGCGTCGAGCTTAGGAGCAAGCACGTTCTCAGGGCGGAGATCCATGAGGACAAGAGGGCGTTCCTGAAGCAGCAGTTCTGCGACGTCGGGTTCTTGGCGGGGGAGATGGAGGGCATTGCGTCGGCCAGGGCGTTTGACTTCAACGTGCAAGCCGACGCAACTATTCCACATTTTGTTTCTCTTGGCAGCGGGTTTCCATGTGTTAGTCGCACTCCGCTGTCGGTAAAGATGAGGGAGAATCTTAATTGTTGCCAGCAAGGAACAGGTGCAACAGGCGTTGCGGTGCGCAAGTTCCTCTCGATCATTTCGAAGAATTGGCCAGAGGAGATCGTGTTGGAGTGCGTGGTCAATCTTGGCCAGCAGCCAGATGCCGCTGTCCCGAGCGATGCAGATTGGATCGTCTCAGAGATCAGGAAGCTCGGCTACTGGTCGTTGCGTGTAACGATACAGGCGTCTTCGCAGTTTTCGCCAGTGCCGCGGCAGAGGTTGTGGTGGGTCGCTTTGAAAGGCATCGCGCCCGACGCCGACGCCCACGACGAGGTGACCACGTTTTTCTTAGACAAGCTGCGGTGCCTTAACGTGGGAGAGCTCAACGCAATCGACCAGTGCAAGCAGTTCCTCATCAAGGACGATTCGGAGAGGGTCGGGATCAGCCGTCGCGCGGGCCTCCCAGTTTTCGAGGGCAGTGGTACAAGGCAGCCTTTTTTCGAAAACAAGGAAAGAGGCGACAAAGGATTCTTCGGATCAGAACCCCAGCAAGTACAAGTCCGAGCACATCCAGAATCCGAAGCGCTTTGCGCACCACCGCCACCCACCAGCGAGTTGAGGTGATCAGGGAATGAAATGATTGAACAAGGTGAGGAGCGCCTCGTGCGAAGGAGAGGGAGTTTTGATGGGGGGGGGGGGGGGGGGGGGAAGACGGGCGATGCGAAGGTGCATGTGAGGAAGGGAAGGAAGATGACGCGGAAGATGAGATGAGGAAGGAGGAGAGAGGGAGGGAGGGAGGGAGGGAGGTAGGGAGGTTGGGAGGAGGGGTGGAATCTCCTGCCGGGGAGGGCTGGCAAGTTTCTCCGAAGGGTTTGGCGACGCTTCCTCCTCCTTCTCGTCGTCGTCGTCGTCCTCCTCCCTCCTCCTTCTCCTCCTCCCCCTCTTCCTCCTCCTCCTCATGTCCCTCCTCCTCCTCCTCGTCCTCCTCCTCGTCCTCGTCGTCCTCCTCCCCTCCTCCTCCTCCTCCTCCCCCTCCTCCCCCTCCTCCTCCTCCTCCTCCTCCCCTTCCTCCTCCTCCTCCTCTCCTCCTCCTTCCTCTCCTCCCCCTCTTCGCCCTCCTCTCCTCCTCCTCCTCTCCTCCTCCTCATCATCATCATCATCCCCCCTCCTCCTCCTCCTGCCCCTCCCCCCCTTCTCCCCCTCCTCCCCCCCCTCCCTCCCCCCGGCCTCCTCCTCCTCCGCATGTGAGGAATGGAAGAAGGATGTTCAAGACTTGGCCCCGTTCTGGTCTGGGCTGGTCGGATTATAAGTGCCAGCAGATGGAGTGGCCCCCTGCGCCCGCTGAAGTGGCTGAGGCTATCAGAATCGATGGCATGTGGCCTCGGGAGCAAGAGTTGTGCTTCTTTGTGAACAAGGTGTGGCCACCGTGCATGTCGTCTGGCAAGGACGGCGCCGGGTACATCGACCTGAACATGTCCATGATGAGGCTGCTGACGGGGTGCATCGACTATGACTTCGAGGGAAAGCCTGATGAGAAGTTTCCTTTGAAGAAGTCGCCCTGGAAGGGCAGCCCCATGACGCTAGTGGGGAGCATGAAGCTGGCGGTGCGGTACTTCAACAGTGCATGCAACAGGTTCGTGGTTCGCTTGGCGGAGCCGATTGAGTATCTCCGCGGCATCGGTTGGCACGAGAGCTTCTGTCGCACGAACTTCTTCAAGGTGCCTGACGACATGGACGACGGCAAGCGCGCGGAGATGACCGAGGTGCAGTACGGGGAGCTGATTGCGAACATGTGTGGCAACGCTTGGTCTGGTTTTACTTACAGCGCAGTTCAGACAGCATTGGTGGCAACGTCTGGCCATTTCTTTTCTAAGATCGGCAGGTCCTCGCGTGCGCCCGCAGCTCCCGCTCCCGCCGACGACGACAGTGATGAGGCGTCTAGTTCGAGCTTCTCCTCCGATTGATGATCTGGGGGTTGCAAGGCGGGCGACGGCTGAAGGGCGGCGAGAGGCGCGAGAGCTACCTGGAGCAGGCGGCTACGGTGACCTGACCTGGGCATGGCATAGGCGGCGTTGGCTTGCTGAACGCAGCGACGGTGCAAGCCGCTTGCCCCCCGCCCTCCGCTTCTTCAAATGTTACCCCTTCCCCCGGGTCCTCCCCCTTCCCTTCTCATTCTCCCTTCCCTCCCTGCCCGTCTCATCCATCGCCACCCCATCCACCCTCGCCTCCTCCCCCTCCGTCGCTGCCGCCCTGCCCCCTTGCCCTCCCTCATTATCCTCTCCGTCGTTGCGCTGCCTTCGTCCTTCGTCTGTTGCTGCTTTGTGCCCGCTCTCGATATCTACATTGCGTAATTCCCTTGAGGTTTCTTTGAATTGCACATTGTTGCATCAGCAGGTCGTAACAGGTCCAGAGGGGGTTGCGTCGGCGTCATTGCGATGCGGCCATGGTCATCACGTCATCACAACGCGCATTTCCGATTGCGATTCGAATCGCATGGCGTTGCATTGGCTCGCGGTTCGGGGCTCTCGGGGCGCCCTCAGTCAGGCGTGGCCTGGTGGCTGGTGGTCTGTGCGTGTCGCGCAGTTGGAGCGAGGGGCCCCGAGGGGCGCGCAGCTCGCGGGATCGCAGCGTCGGGGCTTTTAGTGCGCACGCGCTCCCCGCCCGAACCCGCCAGCCCCTCGCCGCGCCTCGCCGGGCGCTTGATTCAAGCCGCTGCGCCCGCGGCCCGCGACCCGCGGATTGCTTCCATCCCGCTTGCCGCCGCCATGATGGCCGACGTGGAGTTGCCTGCTGATGGCGGGTTGGACGTCAGCATGGGCGCTTCGAAGTCGAGCCGCAGAGGGGCCAGGAAGGCGTCCAGCTCCCGCGGCCAAGCGGGCCAAGCGCCACCTGCCGCAGCCTCGCCAGAGGACAGTTGTTCTTGCGCTTTGTGTCTTTGTTTGTCCACTTTGTACGATGGCACCCTGCGAGATGTTCCATTGTCTGATCAGCTAGCCGTCGCCCAGCCTCAGCCCCGCCCCGCCCCGACCCCTCGAAGGAGTCGATGACGCTTCGGCTCCTCTGGGGGCGGCGTTGGGGGGCGCCAGAGGGTCGAAGAAGGAGGAGGAGGAGGAGGAGGGGGAGAGCGAGGAGGGGGAGGAGGAGGGGGAGGGGGAAGATGAGGAGGAGGAGGAGGAGGAGGAGGAGGAGGAGGAGGGGGAGGGGGAGGAGGAGGAGGAGGAGGAGGAGGTTTGGAATGTTGCATTGTTCCGCTGATACACAGGATACGACAACGCTTGGCGCCACCAGCACGTACACGCTGACGTGGACGAAGAAGGTGTACCTCGTCAAGTTCTGCCCAGATGGCCGCAAATGCGAATTGTGCCCCCTCCTCGACTCCGACCATGACCCGTGCAGCAAAGTGATGGTGCCGATGGTGATTGAACAGTGTTGGTGGTCCTACCCCCCTGACATGAAGACTGGCAGGACCGAAGGGACCATCTGCGGCTACTGCATGCGCTACTATTCGGCCAGGGTGAAACCGCAGGGCGTGTCTTTGGCGCAGTACAAAAAAATCTTGGGTGCAGAAGAGAAGAAGCTCAATTGCCACCAGCAAGCGGTCAGCGTCCTGAAGGAGCAGATCATTTCGAAGGGTTTGCCTCGGAACGCAAAGTTCGAGTGGGAACTGATCGAGGAGAGGTCTTTGAAGATCGTGAAGTCAATGGAAATGAACATCAAGAAACCTGGCTGGACACACGTGCCCTGGGATTTTTATGCTACATCGCCAGAATACGGCAACGGGAAGGACTTGAACAACAACCCAGCGGGTATAAGCGCAGGGCACCGCGAGTTCTTTTTCGAGGGCGTGCGGGGGGTGCTCATCCCAGACAAGCCCATCACTAAGATCGAATTCAACGAAAAGGTAGCTGGTCAAATCGAGCAAACTTTAGCATCGAGCGCGGGGGATGAGTTGAGCAAAGATGAGATGGAGCAGAATTTGCAGGGTTTGTCTAAGTCGTTCTTCAACGGCTATGGCGGCGGCTTTGATGGGGTAGCTGCGACGGGTGACAGTGCGGCCAGCTCCAGCTTCTCCGAGCTTATGAACCTTGGCGGCTTTGGCAAGGCTGGCCGTAGCTCTTCTCCCCTGGCGAAGCCCAGTGCTGGCGCTGGCGGCGGTGCCACTCCGGGGTTTCCGAAGGGCTCGTTTCCGACAGGGGACAGCCCGTCGACGGCCCCTGAGCAGCAGCCCGACGACGCCCAGGGCCATGGGGTTTCGTCTACGGCAGCTGGCAAAGCGGGCAAGCAGAGCAAGATCAAGCTTGGGGGGAAACAGAAGGCGGCGGGTACGCAGCAGAAGAACAAAGACCCTGGCGATGCCACCATTCAGAACGCGGAGACGCGCGGCAGGAAGCCGAAGGACCTCGGCGCCCAGCTCGATGCCCTCGCGCTGGAGTTCGAGAGTGCTTCTTCGACGGCAACGGTGCACTGGGGGGCTGAAGCGAAGACAGGCATGAAGCAGTTCGAGTTGCTGAACAAAGAGGCGCAGACCAGGGCGAAGAAATCCAGCCGAGCCGAGGAGACCGAAGCTATGCGTAAGATTCTGAAGCGCACGAACGCTATTCACGCGGTGCTGTCCGCGGCGCAGGAGCACGGGCTTGGCACCCAGGGCTTCGCGACGGCGTTCGACATGAACGAGACCTCTTGCGCCCTCGACCCTCAGGCGGCTTGGGATTTGGGATTTGGGATGCAATTTGAGCTGTCTTATTGACTCCTCCCCATCCTCCGCCCCCCCTTCTCCCCCTCCTCCTGCTCCTCCTCCTCCTCCTCCTCCTCCTCCTCCTCCTCCCCCCCTTGCTTTTCCTTTTCCTCTTGCTCCTCCTCTTGCTCCTCCTCCTCCCCCTCCTGCTCCGCCTCCTCCTCCGCCTCCCCCCCCTTGCTCTTGCTCCTCCTGCTCCTCCCCCTGCAAGAGGAGTAGTAGGGGGAGGAGGAGGAACAAGAAGAGTAGGCAGGAGGAGGATGAAGAGGAGGAGGAGAAGCAAGGAGCGGGGTGAGCAGAAGAAGTAAGAGAAGTTTCTGCCCCTTCCTTTCTCTGCTTGTCTGCCCCCCCCCCTCCGCCCCAGGGCGTTCGTTTGGTTTGTCGATGCTCCTCAGTCTGCCGTTCATTGTTCATTGTCCTTCTCATCTTTGGCATCGTTTGTTTCGTTCGACGCGGGTCCTGATGGCGCTCGCCGCTTTCTGTTTTGACGTTCCCGCAGGTGACCGTCAAGTGGCCCAAGCACGTCTTATGGGCGCGCCACAGGATGCGCATCAACGCGATGGAGCACAAGCAGGCGTGGTACCAGATGATCGGCATGAACACCATCATCAAGCACGGGTCTCAGAACCCTGTCATTGACCAGGACCAGCTCGTGGGGGAGAAGGTCATGGCGGTACTCAAGAAGAGCACTTATCCCTTGTCGGTGGCCGCAGTGAAGGACTGGTTCGGCGACGCGGGCGAGGCCGACTTGGAGCATGACCTTTCGGAGTTCGTGGCTGCGCTAGGGTTGGCTGCAACATTCTCGGAGATCGACGCCATCAGCGAGAGGGTGGAGTTCACCGTTCATGCCAGCAGCGTCTTCGCGTCTCACAAGGCGAAAGGCACGTGGAGCGCCGAAGCATTGTTTGGCCACCCGTACGGGAAGAAGTTGGCAGCGGATTTGGATTTGGATTCGAAGAAGGCGAAGAAGACCGAAGAAGTTTCGAGTGATCTGGAACGCATGTCATCGAGTATGTCCGAGGCGCTGGGCAAGTGCGATCCGAACATCGTGGTATACGACGATGCGGTGCTCAACTCAGTATTGTCATGCTTTGGTGCACTGACTGAGCTTCTCGATTCTTCCGCTGATACATGCTTGACTGAGTTCTTGCCGTCGACCGATCTGCTCCGTTTCGACGACGTCGTGAATGCTTGCTTCGTCGCGCTCCACTCTTTTCTAAAGAAACTTCAGGACATCGCCGATGAGATGACCATGGAAGCGCTGCTGAAGTGGGCCGCTGAGATCGACTTCCCTGCCCTCAGGATCGTCAGGTTCCACCGGGGCCTCGAGGCAAACAAATGCGTAAACAAGAACTGCGTGTCTTGGGAACAGTGCGAATGGCTGCACGAGGTGATCGGGTGACTCCGCTTCTTTTTTCCTCTATCGAGTTGTTCGCTCGCCACCATTCAATTTCTCTTCTTCCTTCCTCTCGCCCCGTACTCCTGACTTTCGACTCTCAATTCTCAACTTGCCACCTGCTCAGCCCTCGCACCCCTTGGGCTCCCCATCTTCCTCTTCGTTCTCCTCGCTGTCCTTCTTAGTGTGCTGCTGTGCTGCTTTCCGCCACATATGTTTCGGTCATTGGGCTTTCAACCGTCTTGTCTCTCCCGCCGCGCCCTCTTCCTCCTCGATCCGACCCGCTCCTTGCCCCCCCGCTCTCTCCTTGTGCAGGTTGTTACGGCCCTGACCCGCGTGTGCCTGCAGGTAAAGAAAGGCTACGACGACCCCGCACTCTGTACAGAGCTGGCGTCAACCTTGGACTTCGCCTTCAGCAACGCTCCCCCGGCGGGCTTGGAGGCGATTCAGACCGTTCTGAGAAGGTCCCCCGTCTTTGCTGACGACGGCGAGATCATGCGCAGTCTCGGCGGCAAGGCTGATGAGGAGGTCGGATCGGCCATTGCTCCAATACTGGCCCGTTTCCGCGAGTTCTTTCCAGAGCCGAATGTCGTTTGCGACATCACTGCTAAACAGGAAGTGTTCGCAACTGCTTCATTCAACGAGGACATGCAGAAGGCGATGCGGGAGTTGCAGTCTGTTGACCCGCAGGTGCGAATGCAGCTTAGCACCATGTCGCAGTCGGTGTCGCTGGCCAAATCCGTAGGCTGCATGGAGAAGGCCATGAGGGCCCTCTCGTCCAGCAGCAGCGTTCGCCTCTCATCTGAGACCTTGAAGGAGACGGCGGCCGCTGTCAAAGATCTGCGTTCGTGGAGCGCCACGTGCGCGACCACCATCGGCATGGACGGCGCGAAGACATGCTTTGAACAGGGCGGTCGGTTCAAATTCTTGGAGAATGTCATTGACATGCAAACGTTCCCCAAATCCTTGGTCGATGCGGCCGACGAGTCTTTGAACGCTTCTGCTGCCGCAGTTGGCAAGCTGATCGACGGGCACGTCGGGGCCATGAACTTCATCCCGACGGAGTGGGCGAACCACAAGGAGAATCTCTTCGATAAGGAGGACATGTGCATGCAGCTGATCACGGTGCCGCGCGATAGTTTCAAAAACATCGGGTGTTTGTGCCAGGAGGCTCGCGCAGGCTACAAGGTTTCGAAGGGCGTCCACAACGATGGCTGCAAGAGCGAGTGGATCCCGATCGCCAAGATCAAGGATTTGGCCAGGGCAGCTGACATGGGGGTGCAGGTCGTGCGTTTCGCATTCGCGGTCTGGCACGTGTGCCGCGGGGTACCGAACCTGAAGGGGAACAAGGAGAGCATCGAGGCCAGCGTCGAGTCCGTGCGCAAGAAGTTCACGATGCACAAGGTGGAGGTGCCGTCTGCGATCCATAAGATCTTGAAGGAGTTGGCGGGGGGCGAGAAGGAGGCCGACCACTTCAAGCTCGAGATCCCCGAGGCCGCGGGCGCGGGCGGCAAGGTCAAGGCGGAGGAGGCCCACAAGCCCGCCAAGGTTGCGAAGACGGCGGTGGGCTTTGGCGCCCAGATGGCCGAGGGAGCCAAGGAGCGGGCCGAGGGCGAGGGCGCCAAGGAGCAGGGCGCCGAGAAGCAGGCCGCGGGCGTCGAGGCCGCGGGCGGCGCCAAGCGGAGGCCCGAGCAGGGCGAGGACGCGGGTGGCGCCAAGGAGAGCTTGGCGAAGCGCTTGAAGGCGCGGCGGGAGACGCTCGCAGCGGCGTGAGCGGGCCAGGGGCCAGGATGGCGGCGGTGGAAGCGGGCAGCGGCGACGACGACGGAGAAGATGGCGACGGCCGTGTTTCGACTTAGGCTCCTCGTCGCCGACGTTTCGGAGCCGATGCTTGGCGCTTCGGGCTTCGAGCTTCGATCTTCGATTCGATGCTGACGAGTCGATTCGATTCGATTCGATTCGGTTCGATTCGATGCGATTCGATTCGATTCGGTTCGATGTTGATTCGATTCGAGCGCGATGTTGATTCGATTCGCTGCGATGCGATTCGATTCGATTTGATGTTGATTCGATTCGATTCGATGTTGATTCGATTCAGTTCGGTTCGATTCGATTTGATGTTGGTTCGATTCGATTCGATGTTGATTCGATTCGGTTCGATGCGATTCGATTCGATGTTGAGTCGTCTCGACGCTTGGCGCGTCGAGCTTCGAGCTTCGAGCTTCGATTCGAGCGCGATTCGATCCGATTCGCTGTTGAGGGTGCCTCGATTTTCGAAGTTCGAAGCCTCGCGCCTCTCTTCCACCCTTGCCGCGGGCCAGCGCAGCGCGGCTGTGGGGCGCTGCGCGTTGCGGCGAGCTGCGGGGCGCTCGCTGATGTCAGAAAGGTTCTCCTCCTGGGAGGAGGAGGAGGAGCAGCAGCTTGGGATTCGCTTTTGCCGAAAAAGGGCTTGCACTCGTCGGACCTTAGGCTTTCCGAAACAGTGCTTGCAATCTTGGGCTAGTGTTTGCACTCCTGAACGGCTTTCCGAAACAGTGCTTGCAATATTGGGCTAGTGCTTGCTTGCCGAGCTCCTGGGTTAAGTTGGGGACTCGTTTATGCTGAACATCGCCATGGGTAGTTTTTTTCTTTATTATTAAATATTAATTAAAATCGTTTGAAATAGTTTTTTTTTTTTTTTGTTTATTTCGCTTGTACTTTTATTTTTATTTTTATTTTTATTTCCTAACTTGAAAGCCGAAAGCCATTTCCATGCGTTGTAATGAGATCGGGCAGCTCAAGCATAATTCAATCGCAGGGGATCTTGTGAGTTGCGCGCGCAAATCCTTCGTGGGTGTTGACGCTGGCCCCCTTTTATGCGGATGACCATGACCATGACCTCCCTCCTCATCGTTCTCCATGTGTCCACTTTCCTCGTCCTCGTTCCTCTTTCCCGTCTCTCGCCCCTGCTCCTTCGTCTCTGGTCCCCCCCCCTTAGCAAATATCCCCCTCTCTTGTACGTCGTGGACAATTTCCCGTCATACCACCAGACCGGTCGGCAATCAGGGTGGACTGGGCGTTTCGTTTGAGTTCGTCCCCGCTCATGATCTTGACGCTTGAAGTCCCCGCAGCTCCACAGATGGAGGATCTCCCGTGCTCAGTCTCTCTTGTTTTTGCAAACACACACACACACACATATATATATATATATATATAACCGCGAGTGTTATTTCAAACAGCGTCCATCTGTCATTCGATGGGAGCCGTTCTCATGTTGTTGTCATCCTAAATCCGCGCGCAGTCGTCTTACAGCAGACCATTCGTTGGGACGGATGGGGCACAGGCCGTTTTCAACGTGAGCCTCCCGTATCAGTCCCGCACGCGGTTTTTTCGTTACGTTTCCAACGGTTGGGGCGGATGGTATCAACGTTGTGTTGAACATGCCGTTCTCGATTGAGTTTTGCGCGCGTTCGTTCTGACATTTTCCAACTGTCGCACATATGTGGGGGCGTGGTGTTTTTTCAGAGGGGGGCGCTTCGACTTGGTATCCCCCCCAGCTCTTGTGGTCAGCGACTTGTGTTGCGCAGAAGTTACGCGCACTGAAGGATTGCAATGAGGAGGAGGAGGAGGAGGAGGAGGAGGAGGAGAAGGAGGAGGAGGAGGAGGAGGAGGAGGAGGAGGAGGAGTTACCCGCTCTGCGATTCACCAGGTACGAGTGCGCAGCCGTGCCTCGGATGGCGGCCGATTCCATCTTCGCACGGGGCTCTCGTTGGCCAACACTATCCATCCATCCCCCTCCTCTTCCTCCTCCTCCTCCTCCTCTTCCTCCTCCTCCTCTTCCTCCTCCTCCTCTCCATCCTCCTCATCCTCCTCACCTTGTGGCCCGACATCTTGGCGCGCCTTCGGGCTTCAGGGACAGAAAGCGGCCCTTTTCTCACAAGTCAGGCTCTCGCCCGAATGGCATGCCCACGGGGCGTCTCTGCTTTCCAACTGGGCGCATCCCGCGGCGTGACGGCATGCTTGCCTGGGGAGTTTCGAGAGGGGGGGCCCAGGACGGGAGGAGTTGTTGCAGCATCCACGTTGGGTTTGTTTGATTATTTGTCCTTTTCCATCCAGGAGGAGGAGGAGAAGTAGGAGGAGGAGGAGGAGGAAGACGAGGAGGAGAGGCAGGGGAAGGGCAGCAGCGAGACGAGGAGGTGGAAGAAGAGGAGGAGAGGAGGGAGGAGGAGGACCAGGAGGAGGAAGAGGAGGAACCATCTCTTCCCCTTTGCCCCTCATCCCTCACCCCTGTCCCGCCCCCCCCGACCCCCCCCCCTCAACCGCGAGGTGACCCCCACGCGCGGCGCGCCGCGTCCGCCCTATCGCGGCAGCGCGCAACCGCGGCGGCAGCGAGGTGTGCCTCGTGCTCCCGTGATCCTCCCTTCTCCCCTTCTGGGACCCCCGTGCTCCTTGCTCCCTCTCCTCCCCGCCCTCCCGCCTCTTGGTGGGGTCCATGCAGGGGCCCTCTTGGGCCAGCCTGGGACTCTCTCGGGGCCCTCGTGGAGGCCTCCAGGGTCCGTTGGGGCATTGGTGTGCCGTCAGTGGGGCATCCTCAAGGCCTCTTGGGTCGTCTTGAGGTGGCGGAAGCCCGAAACGGCGATAGTTTGGGAATCGCCGAAGCGACCCAGGGAGATCTATGTGTGTTTCCTACTGGATGTCCTCTGGGAGTGCTCTCGGGGACTCAGGCTACCTGAGGCGATATTGGGTTCTCTTGGAGCGCTCTTGGGACGTCTTGAGACCCTGGAAAACGCCGTTGTGAGGCCAGGTTCGGCCGTCTTGCAGCGTAATCTTGGCACCCTCTTGGGCTGGTCATCGAGCGCCCCGCGTCTCCTGGAGCGCCAGGCAACATCTTTGACCCAGGGTTTCTGGGACCTTCCCGCGGTACCTTTCGTGCGGGGACCCCCAAGGGTTCCCAGACCCCCTCGCGTTGAAAAAAACACGACGGCAGGTTTCTCGCCATTTTCAGCTTCCGGGTGCCCTCACTGGGCCTCGGGACCGTCAATCATAAGACAGCTCGCCATTTGGGCCCCACCGCCAGCGCAAACAGCGAGCATCAATCGGGCGTAGCCCCGCACGCATTCGAATGCCCACACTTCGTCCTCGTACTACTCGTATTCCTCCCTGTCTTCCTCCCCACCCTGATCGTCGTCGTCGTTGTCCTCGTCCTCCTCATCCTCCTCATCTTCTTCGTCCTCCTCCTGCTCCAGCTCCTCCTCGTCGTCCTCGTCTGGGACCTCGTCCTCGGTTCTCCTCTTCCTCCTCCTGCCAATCCTCCTCCTGGCACCTCGGCGGCCGAGAATCAAACCGTCTCCTATCGGTTGCGCCATAGGTTGCGCCCTCGGCGGCCGAGAATAAGACCGTCTCCTATCGGTTGCGCCATAGGTTGCGCCCTTGGCGGCCGAGAATATAACCGTCGCGAAACAGGTGCGACCAGTCTGTTCAGTTTAGTTCAGTTCAGTCAGTTTACGCGGGAAAGAAATTCGGGCTACGCCCGAACAAAACGACTCAGGATGAAAAGTCGGTCCAGACCTCTGGGGGTCGACGTTGTGAGAAAAACATGACGCCAGGTGTCTGGGCCCGCCCCGCGCGCGCGAACTCGGAAATATTAACGTACTCGCTTGCTCGCGGTGTTCTGCTCGCGTGCGGAAGTATCGAGCAACATCATGATGAAGATGGCTTTTCCCTGCGGCTGTCAAGCTGTTGTAAATAGGAGTTGCGATTGGGTGGCATATTCGTTCATTGCGAAGGCCTCACGGCCTGTGTCGCCAACCCTGAATGCGGGACCTCCCTCAGAACCCCCGCTGGCGCACCCGCCTGGACCTGGGGGGGGAGGGGGGGTATTCTGACCCGGGACCACCCTCTCCCCTCCTCTTCACTCCTCCTGTTCCTTTTCCCTCCTTCTCCTCCGCCTGCTGCTCCTCCTCCTCCGCCCCCTCCTCTTCCTCCTCCTCTACCTCCTTCTCCTCCCCCTCCTATCCCCTCCTCCTCCTCCTCCTCCTCCTCCTCGACGTGAGAATTTTATCTGCCCGACGGCGCCTCACAATCCCTCCGGTGAGAATTTTATCTGCCCGACGGCGCGGCACAACCCCGTCGGTGATAATTTTAGCTGCCCGACGGCGCGGCACAACGGCGGATATGAGAATTTTAGCTGCCCGACGGCGCAGCACAATCCCTGTGGTGTGAATTTTGACGCGACACAGACCACCTCCACTGCAGTGATCACTACTATGCTGGAAGCGGACTGGGTACGTCTGGCATCCCAACCACCGCCGACACCAGCGAGCCCACCCGACTGCATACGGGAGAGCATCAGCTACCGCGCCGACCCTGCAGCCGCCGACCCACTGGGACAGGCCTGCGCCAACTTCGCGCACGTGCCGGAGACCTATGTCTGCGACGCCCACGACATCAACGGAGAAGACCGAAAGCGCTGCCTGGGCAGGGGGCAAGGATGCCAGTACAAGTGGGTCAAGCAAACGAGCACAGGGTTCAGAAGACACCACTGCACCAACGGCTTTGCAGACTGGTTGGGACGACTGGCTACGGCATTGCATCACTGCGACACCCTGCTGGACAGAAAGAATGGGAAGGTGCAGCGACAAACCATCGCCGACAGCTGCAGACGGCTAGCGCACCAAGGTATCCTGCCAGCAGGACAGCGTGAATCTCCACAGCGTGAAACTCCACAAGCAGCACGACACCAACTTCTTTGGAAGGAACGACTCCTCGACATCACTGTCTTCGACTACGACGTC